TATTACTCAGCAGTAAAAAACAAGGACTTCTTGAATTTTGCATACAAATGGATGGAAATAGAAAACACTATCCTGAGTGAGGTAAGCCAGACCCAAAAAGAGGAACATGGGATGTACTCACTCATATTTGGTTTCTAGCCATAAATAAAGGACATTGAGCCTATAATTCATGTTCCTAGAGAAGCTAAATAAGGTGAATCCAAAGAAAAATAACATTTTTATAGAGTAATTATGATATGAATTCTGAAAAGCTACCACACAGCCTTTAGTATTGTATTTTTAAAAACTTTATTGATGTATCTTTTTCTTTGGATGGATATCTTAGTGGCACATTAATAAAGTACATTTATCTCCAGGAAATTATTGCTGCCACCATACCTAGCCTTGGATCCTAATTGTTTTTTAAGAGTGTAAAATAATGTAAATTCCAAAAGATTACTGACATCAATACATCAAACAATACTGATGTGGGGAATCGTCTGCTACTTGTGGGTAACTAAGATTCTGAACACTTCGAATCCATACCCTTGTGATGTTTGTGCTATTTTTATAACTCCTTCTTTTATTATCCTAATACCATATATGAATAGTCCAAAATATTAGATTTCACATTTTTATACATGTCATTTTTTCTTTGGAAATAACAAAGCATTTTAAAAATCTAGATGCCACAAATAAGGCAATGCATGCTATCTGTCTTTGCATGTAAAATAATAATCCTTTAAAACAGTAGGAACAAAGAGGAAAAACATTGAATCCTCTAAAAGAAAACTAAACCACACTGCTCATAATAGAAGGTGATGAACAAAGACAGTCTTTGTCTGTTGTATACCTTTCCAACTATCAGTTTCATTGCCAAATGCATGCTTTTCTATAGAATAAGAAAACAGGACAAGATATGGTGTTATTTTCCTCACCCCTTGGCATTTTAGTCATTTTCCATGACATTGGATGATTGGAAACCAAAGAGATCACTGAGAATATAGTGAAATTTTACTGTTGTGGATTATTTACAACAATATACCAAACTGGTCAGTTGTTCATCTTAATGAAATAGGTTTCCTATTTCACTTCTTATGACAGGAAGTTTCTCATAGGGGACCTTAAGAAGTGGCTCTGGACTGACAAATGTCTTCAAAACAATCCTCTAGTATTTAGAAAAATAAATCTCTCTTCCAGCTATAAATTATGTTTTCTTCCTGAAAGAGGACACTTCAAGGTACAATTAAAAAAACTTTTAATGGAAAATATGCAAAAGTTGGCTCTCTTCAAAGAGTGATTTATTCCTATTCATGAAGCTTCATTTCCTCTTTCATTTTACTGATTACAGTTTTAAGAGCCCTTTGGAGAGATATAATTCTTTTCAAATTACTCTTCCATCTTCATTTATACCTAGTTGTTTCCCTAATCCACATTCTTATTACCTCATACTTGTTATTAATGTATTCTCCAAAAGAGCTTTCATCATCCAGTTTTGCCTTCTAAGAGATCTTTTAGGGAATCATATAGGCAAATATCCATGTCTCTCCTATTTACTTGTCCCATCTTAAACATTTACTTAAGAAATTACTCTTCTGTGTTTCAATTCAGCATTGGATAAGATAGGAGACAGTATCAGTTCCTCCTTCATAGGAAGGATTCAATGTTGACAGTATACAAAAGTATTCATAATAATTTTCATTCCCCTGCCTTAGTTCTGCTTAAAACATATCTCATAGCTTCCTAATCTTAATTACTCCCATGCTCTAAGTATTTATATGTATCTGCCAAAAATATCTTATTACACCCTGTTTTCCAACATGCCCTCTACCTCAGAAAATGTTTGTACTCAATATCCCTCAAATACAAGCAAGTCTACTTTTTACTTGTGGACTTGATAATAATTTTTATATCCTAGAATTACTTTCCCATTTCCTTCTCATAAGCTTGCTATACTCCAGCAATGCTGAAGTTTTGCTATATTTGCTTACATTCTATACATTTTGCTTGCATTTCCATGTGTTTATATGATCACAGTTTTCAAGTCACAATTCACCTTGTGTTGTATTTTTTGCTTATTAGTTGGGAAATAATGATGATAGTTTAAAAGGATACACACTGTAGTATGCTACTACAAACTACAAGTAAATGTAAAACAACATGGAAAGTTAGGCAAAGGCATTAAAATGGAGTCACAAAAATTATTAGTCTAAAGTGATACACTATAAATATATTTCTTCCATTCAGTGCCAGGAGAATTAAAACTGGCTCCATGTTTTTCAGTAGACTATGAAAAAAAAGGACTATATGCTACATATGTCCATAATAATTAAGTAACCCTAGTTGCTTAAGAAAAAAAATAAGTTTTTCGTAATTCTAATTTCAGGTAGATTCTACTAGAAAATATAATAGATAGTAATGAATAATATTCTTTTGTTTTCTTTTTTAAAATTTTTTAATTAAAAAATTTCTGCCTCCTTCCCGCCTCCCTTTTCCCTCCCCCTCCCCCCACTCCCTATGCCCCACTCCCCTCCCCCTCCCTCTCCAGTCCAAAGTGCAGTCAGGGTTCCCTGCTCTGTGGGCAGTCCAAGGTCCTCCCCCCTCCATCCAGGTCTAAGAAGGTGAGCATCCAAACAGACTAGGCTACCACAAAGCCAGTACATGCAGTAGGATCAAAACTCAGTGCCATTGTCCTTGGCTTCTCAGCAGCCCTCATTGTCCACCATATCCAGAGAGTCCGGTTTTATCCCATGCTTTTTCAGTCCCAGTCCAGCTGGCCTTGGTGAGCTCCCAATAGATCAGCTCCACCGTCTCAGTGGGTGGGTGCGCCTTCACAGTCTTGACTTCCTTGCTCATGTTCTCCCTCCTTCTGTTCCTCATTTGGACCTTGGGAGCTCAGTCCATTGCTCCAGTGTGGATCTCTGTCTCTATCTCCATCCATCGCCAAATGAATGGCTATCATTACTTGTCTAATGCTACTTTTAGAGGGCTTAAAAACATTTGAAGCACTAAATTGTAATATATGAAGCAGTAAGCAAGAACAAAGGAAACATCCAGATTGATGGCCAAGATGAAACATCTACACTAAATTTAGACTGTTATGGCTGAGATGTTGATGTGCAGGCCACCACCTGTGCTTAGCAACTAGAAAACTTGAATATGAACCTTAGGTAGAAAAGATTGTTACGTTGTTAAGCTCTTTTTGTTTGTCCACAGCTTTGTTCCTTCTAGATAACCTAAAGATTTAACAGAATTAAATTGTTTTGCCTGAATTGGGTCACTGACTTCTGATCTTTTTCTACTCTTGTTAGAGCCAATGATAGGTGAAGCTATTGAATACAAGAGAGAGAGAGGTGAGCTAGCAACATTTACAAGTTGTCTGTGAAATGAATGTTACATGTCCCTTGTCAGGAAAGGGTTTCTTTCTCTCTCTAGCCCAGGCTTTGGATTCTAAGTTCAAGAGGTCTGGAACTATATTTTTCAGAAAAGGATAATACCCTAGAAAACTGGCTCACAGTGCTCAAACTCATAAGGGACAGATTTGTATCATGACGCCAATTTAATAATTTATAGTAAAGAAGAGAACCGCCAAATGGACTCAGATGTGTGTTGGCCTGTCAGCTTAGTCTCTTTTCAGTAGAGATGCCAAGTCAAAAACCTAAATTAACAACAGATTGGAGCTAGATAAATCTATGAAATTAGAATTGAGAAGAGGCCGGCAAGGTCAGGCTTGTTTCATTTGCATAGTTCAGGCAGGGTAGAATACCCTCTCCCTTTGCCAGTCCTCACAAGTCATGGTCCTATCATCAATCAAGCCAGGCTCTTAGTTTCCAAAGCTAAAGCCATTGCTTTTCCATCGCTCAATGTCCCTGTGATTTTTATTGGACATCCCTGATTGCTGGGCCTCGCTCCACCTCAGTATCTAATGGTTCTGGTTTTATAAGATGCGTTCATTGCAAAATGAGCTGTTGCAGATCCAGGTTGCCCTCCTACAAAAATATGGTCTTCCATTTCCTTCTTTAATCAGTCTTATCTGTGAATCAAAATGCTGCACGTTGACCTAACCCACAAGTATTTTTGTTTTTCTTCTTTAATATGGTTATTACCCAGAAAGTTCTTTGCAGCTCCAGGCTGCAGATTATGAGTATGGCTCTTTTACATGTCTGAAGAGATTTGTGTAAGTTTTTTTTTTTCAGAATTATTTTGAAACTTAGCAGAAAGTGTTGGTTCTAAGTGTGGTATTTACTTGCATATTTCTGAAGAACCTGTTGACACTGTGCAGAATCATCAAACTCATTACTCTGGAGGCCGACTCTGCAATCAACAGTGCTTTTCATTTATTTACAAGTGCATTTTTGAGCATTTATTTAATCACCCTTTGCCTCAGTTTTCAATTTTCATTCAAACAGCATTCTTGAAAATGCTTTGTTTGGAACACAGAAATAAACTGAAAGTAGACTTTGCTCTCAGTTTAGTAAAGGCACAATAAATATGCAAAACAAAGTACACAAAGTACACATTAAAATATGAACTGATGGATAGAGATGAGAACAATCTAGATTTAGTGGAAAATTTAAGCAAAGATAGTCCTGTTGTTATTTTTGATGTGTATTTTGAAGTTTCTTCAGCCTTTGCCTCCTGGAATTGAAAGAGCAGCAGCTTTCCAGCTCTTAGGTAAACTTTCTTCACATTTGGCTTGGAAATTTTATCTTGACACAAAACCTACTGGAATATAGTAAGAAAAACATCTCGGTTGTGGTGGAAGGAAACAAGGTGGGTAACAGTTAAGAAGGCAAGGATGTATTTGTTGTTTGTTCAGCACCAATGAAATAAAGACGAAATCAAACTCGACTAGCGTCATCTGCTCAAGGGACTTACCTTCGTTCTGTGCAAGTAAGGTTTCTGTGGTGAGACATCAATGTGCACAACTTCCTCTTTCAACACTAATTTTTTCAGTTATCAGCAGGATATGTGCATGCTGCCCAGAGTTGTACTTTTGTACTCCCATCTCCTTGCAAAGATACAAGAGTGCTTATCCCGGCTCAGAATCAGGGTAAGTTCTAGTCCAGCAACTGTAACTTTGTTTTTCCGTTTGTGGGAATTGGTGGAGACAGGAAGATCAGGAGAGGAACAGATGTGAAGTCAGTGTTTTGAAATGGTCTCTGGTTTCTCATCTCGGATTCTTACAGGAGAAACAAATGCGATTGTCTTTGAGTCTAGTCAGAGTTCAAGGTGAAATTTAATGCTGTCAGCCTCCACTGTTACAACAGCAGTATTGTCTTATGTGATATAACTTACCACTTGCTAAAGGGGCTTTCTGTACAGTGGACAAGGAATGGCGTATGACCCAAAAGGTAAATACAGTGTTGCATTCAGACTCATTTAGGACAATTTGACAAACTTAGCCAAAAAGAGGATATGCACTTCTGCTGTGTATAATCTTTATATTTACATAGGAAATACATATATTTATATAAATATATAAATTATATATGTATATTAAGGTTTATACTCTTAATAGTAAGCTTAGCTTGCTTTGATACTGAACCAAATAGTATTTTCCCCTAGGATAGAAGAAGAGTGACAAATGACATATCTCAAAAACTAAAAAGGCTGTGCAGATAAAAATCCCTCACAATACAGTTGGATTTTCCAAGAGTCAGTGAGATGAAATCATTTAAGACCACTCAGGTAATTCGTGACAGAATTGCAGCTAGGAACTGAGTCTTAAAACTCATGTTTTTCCCCTCTAGAAGACTGTGACTTTCAGAAATATTCTAAATCTACCTATGGCCCTTTCAATTTTTATATTGGAAGAACAATGTATCAGATGACTTTAGAGTGTATTCAAAGGTGTTCCTTGATTCTCTAAGAGGAAATTGTTGTCCTATGCTAAGTCCTTCTAGATAGAAGAGTCAAATGTGGGACATGTATATTTTCAGTAATTGCTCTTAGGAGTGGAACTAGCAGTAGTGACTCAAAATCAAACACTCTGGGGAATGCTTTAAGAGAAATTCTGTGCTTAGCTGATCCCAGAAGTAGACTTAGAACAACGATAATGGCTTTGCCCTGTTTTTTTTAGGAGGCGATGATCTCAATTCTCAGAATTCTCAAGTGAAGAATTTTATTTTGCTTGTTTAAATAGATGCAGAGAGTCATTGTCATTTCTATCAATTAGAGAATTTGTGTAACTAAAATATGGTACACAGATAGGTGATATGCAGATATACTTAGGTTGCTAATTGTCTAAACTATACTGATAATCAAGTCATAGATTTAGGACCGTTGCTTTTTGTAATGGTTCCTGTTAAAAACAGTCCCTTCTTTGGTCAAACACAGTTTTTTCTAGAGCCTAACTGATAAAAGTTGTTTGATTAAAATTGTATAGACTACTAAATCCTAGTAGTAGAGAAGCAAAGACCTCCAAGTGAATTTTTCTAGAAGTTGGGATTGTGCTTAGTGGCTGTCTCTGTTTGAGATAAGTGAATTGGCTTCCCATGAAGCCCTGTGTCATGGTTCTACCACACAACACAGAAATGTTTGCTGTTAAACCACACTATGGCCAATTTTCATCATCAGGGCAGTGTTTTGGTAGGGAGTTCTAAATTTTATTTTAATTATCCAAAAAGTTTACTTACGTATGTGTCAGATCAGGATTTTAAAGCTATTGTTTTCTTCCCAAAACATAAAAAAAAATAGTGTAGGATTGTTGTTGATTGTAGGAACCAAATCTTAGATCAGAACAATCTACCCCATTGCACTGGTACTTTCTAACTATTGTATATTCAGTCACCAAGAAGATTGTAGATCTGTACTTATAGCAGTTTTCTTAGAGGAACAGTAATTTTTTTCACTTATATTTAGTCCTTTCTCTTTTAAATTTCTCTTCCTCCAAGATGACAAGGCTGCAGACTATCCCTTCTACCAAGGAAAATAGAAGTAATTTTGATAAGCATGTTTGTTTAGTTGTGCTGGTTACTTAAAGTTAAGAGGTTAAAAAGCGAAGGAAGACTGAGAAGGTGAAGACTCATAGAGGTGATACTCAGGGAATGAACTGTCATGTTGATCCTAGAACTGAATTCCCATACTCAGAGTCCAGAGCTTAGAAGCTTCAGGAAAATGGGATTACTCATTTGAGTGCTAATTTCCCTAACTTTCAGTTAAATGATATCTTGTGATAGAATGATTTGTAATAAAAAAAAATATATCATTCAGTAATGATTTTTGACAATCAAATATACATATCTAAGTATATATGCTCATAGGGGTAGTGGCTGCACAAGGACCAGGAAGTGGCAGTGTGAGTAGTGTTAGGGGTAGTATCCATACAGACAAGGTAAGTTAAAGTTAGAAAGGAGTTAAAGCCCATTGAGTTCAATTGTCTTATTTTAACAATAAAGAAAATGAGAGTGACAGACAGGAAAGGGGGCTTATTTAGGTAAAATAGAGAATTGGTATTTGATTAATAAGATCCAAGTCTCTTTGATCCAAATCTAGTATTTTTAAAAAGATGGTCTACTGTTGTGAGTCTTCCCTATCCTATACATCTTGATCAACTCAGCACTCCAGTTATCAAAAATAAAATTAAAATGTCCCAGATTTTCTATCTGCAATCTACTATGATTTGAGTTCAAAAGTGAAACTTCATAAAAAGCTTCGATTCTGATAGCATACTAGCCTGACACCTGGAGAGAAGTCATTTGCCATATATCTTTAGTGCATATACATAAAAGTGCTAGAGCTAGGTCCAAGAATGCCAGTGTCTTTATCTTGAGGAGAGTATATTTCATATAAATGGAATTTAAAGTGATTTTTCCATGCAAGAACTTGTTTGGAAATGGAAAGTTTTATCTTTCTCTAGTTTTATGACAAATCTTATTACAAATCAAATTATAATTATATAAGCATGTTTGAGTTGTCTCTTTCTGAAAACTGGACATTAATGTAGTTTGATAGGAAGGGGAGCTTGAACTCATCATTAGTGAATCAAACTAAAAATTTGATATAAATATGTATTTTGAAGCAATACTTGTTTCTACAAAACTATACTGCTAGATGATCAAATTCTACTTAAGCAGATCAGGTTCTGGTTGGAAATAGAAAGCCGAAATTTTAGACTTCAAATTTCTTTGGTGTCCTGATTTCTAGAAATCTAACCTCATCTATCTCAGGAGCAGAGACTGAAATATTGCTATTGACTGGGAGAGTAAATCCTGGGACAGACGCAAGAAGTCAACTTTCTTGTTTGCTAGCATATGCCTACACTACATACTCTTAAGTTCCTACTGCTTGTCTAGACCTTTGTTAAATAGACTAAATTATATTTAAATGCCTAAGATACAGAATATTCATATACAAAAAGTGCATTTTCTTAGTAAAATCTGTAAATATAGTTTGAAGAAGAAAGTCAATGTATAGGTGCCCAGTCCCAGAAATAAAAAAAGAGCATCAAAGTAGGCCTTTGAGACAGAGGAGATTATTGATCGCTGAGATGAGCTCCAAAGAAAGGTTTTTAATCACAGAGAGTATATATGTTTGCTGTATCGTGTACAAGTTCTAATGACACATTTTAGAGTGGAGTTTAGTGTTTACGTTGGAGAGAAACATCCCTGAAAAAGACAGGAATTGATGAAACGTGATAGAGTGCAAATTTCAGAGGTAACATTATAAGAAAGGGAAATTTTATATTTTTTCTAATAAAATGGTCTTTGACTTTCAAGACCTAACCAATATCTTCTCTGACTTTTATTTGAAATTATAATTTTCATGTCTTACCAAGTTTAGAGCTTATTCTTTATCACTTCAACTGCTGTAGTGGTCTGAAAGAGCAGTTCCGTTGATGATGTGCTCTTTTGTGGTTTTAGTACTGAATATAAAACTTTCCACACATTGCTGGCAATCGTGAACTGTTGATCAATCTACTTATATGAAAATGACTTGACTTCCTGTGGGCCGTCTTTCCAAACTAATGTCCACAATGTTGCTAGAGGGATCACTGTGAACTTCAAGTATAGTTATATCAAAATTCTTATCAGAATATTTCAAGGATTCTATCTTCCCCTAAAATTCCTTCAAAATCTTTCAGGTTATAGCACCACCTGTCTCAATCAGTTTTCCCTTAAGTAGATTCTCCTACGCTATACCTGTCACAGTCTAATCCTAATCACCAGCTTGGGTAAAATGAGTATTACCCTGTTTTTATACCTTGGGAATTATGATTGTTATTCATTCTCACTCAATCCCCCTCAAGTCCTTTCTTCCCTTACATCGTATTTACCCTCAAAACTAATAGCTGAAGCTGCTTTATTGTTCAAGTTTCAATTACACTCATCCTCGATCCAGCCTTTCTTTCTCTTTCTACAGAAATACCTTCGGTACATCTTTTACAGCATGGTTTAAAATTTATTATGGTGAATTACTCTATGTTCTCTCCCACGTGACTATAAACTCCTTCTATTTAATTTTTTATTTTTATGCACACGCATGTCTGTGAATAACATGCATGTCTGGTGCATGTAGAAGTCAAAAGAAGACATTAGATCTCCTGGAATGGAAGTAATGTATGATTGTTAGCCTCCATGTTGATACTGGAAATCAACCTCAGGATCTCTGCAAGACCAAGTGCTCTAAACTGTTGAGCCTTCTCTCCAGTCCAATGAGATTCAAACTTCTTGAGCTTTTCTGTCAAGTAAATTCTTCTCCAGAATTTATGATTCAACTCCGATATCCTCAATAATTATCATATATAATATATACATAAAGAAATATATGCTTGCTAGATTAAAATGCAAATTAAGTCCAGATGAATCTCATTAATGATAATTAAAGAATACCGGCATGATTATGGAAGTCTTTGTTGAAAAGACAGAACTACACCTCAGTTTTGAAAGATTGCTACAATATAAATAGAATAGTCAACAATTCAGGCAAACTAAGTTTAACTTTACCATTTCTGCATAGACAAACTCAATTTTCCTCCCCAAAACTGTCCCTATAGAGACCAATATGAGAGTATAAACATCTTAGCACAAGTACCATCTTCACTCGGTTGAG